GTCCGGGACATTGTTGTGGGCCCTGTGGTTGTGTCATATTCAAACGTCTTATTGCATATACAACAGTAAATTTCCATTTTTTATTTTTACCCATTGCAGTACCAAAAGAAAGATGAGTAAATATAGAAGTGTATTGGAAACTAATTACAAGTAAAAGCTAGAATTAGAAAATAAACATAAGTGGCATAAGTAGAATAGTAAAAATGTGTTGGTGATCACTAAAGGTAATACTGGCAGTAATAAATCTTGATGATCAACATATTGATATCAGTCATAATCACAATATCTTCAATGATCACTAAAGACGTCTCATAGGTGATGAAAGATGATTTTTCGTCGGTATCTAAAGCACCATCGGTGGTTCACGAAACGTCACTGACAATATTGTCGTTGATAATCTCCGGTGAAGATGTGTCGATGATAATAGCTAATATTACTGTCAATAATTCCATCTGAATCTCGAACGCATTTTTTTTTTTATCAGAATCGTCAATTACCATACCATCAGGGATCACCAATGAAATTTTCATTAATGATCATTTGCTCCATTAATATTTTATTATTATCCTTGTAAAGACCATGTTAGTGATCTTGACTAAAGCCCACAAATTGTTTGAGTCACTTCTATAGTTAATTAAATAGAATACATTGTGAATGAAAGCATTAATTCACATAATAATTAATCAACTTCTAATTCTTATAATTTTCAATTATGAAAATTGATATATTTCCCCAATAAGGTCAAATTTGTTTTAGATGACAAGGTAAAACCAAATAATATTAATGAAGAGATGAATGTGAGATATTTAAAGTTCAATTTATTTAGAGCGTGCTAGGGTAAGCCTAAAAATACTAAATTTTTAGTCTCACATACATTTGGATTTACTTTTTCTAAGTTTCTAACTTCTAAATTAAGAATTTTTAATTTTTTAAAAGTAACATTGACCTTACTTTAATAGGTAAATTAATTTTAATTTTTACATAGAATAATACTATATGTAGTCGTTCACTACCGCAATCGTCTTACGTGGTATACATGTGACAATATTGATTTAATGCATAAGACAATAAAAATCAACCACATTAATCCATCAAATTACTAATCGCCATAGGTATGCTACATAGGGTGTCTGCAATAGTAAGCGACTATAAATAACATTTGTCTTCTTATTTAACATGCTTTTACTCAAAGTAAATGTACTTAGAAAGTTAATAAATGTACTTAAAAGTGAACTATCTAAGTTTAACCAAATATGTTATTTTCAGTTTACCATATCGAACATGTAGAAATTTTTTGAAGCTACTTTATTTACTTTTGTCTGATCTATCGTTCTAGCATATTTATTTTGAGCCCAAAATGGTGGAAATTTTTAAACAAACAAAGAGCAAGCCGGATCTCCCAAGCCAAACAAAATATTTCTAGGGATAGAAATAAATAAAGGACTGAAAGACGTAAGATTAATAAATGAATTGTCGTTTTACATTTATAAAAATGAGTGAAGTTTACAAATGAATTGTCGTTTTACATTTATGAAAATGAGTGAAGTGTGACGGTTCCATGTTTCAAGGTCTAATTATTATTTTGATTCACTCCCCCCGTAACCAACTCGAATTTATCTTCTTCTTTTTTGAACGATGTACAGCTAAGAATGTGTCAGCTCGGGATCATCTAGCTCAAACCCAGGATACATCAAAGCCTATACAAATTGTTTCACAGAATAGCTACAAATGTGAGACATGGGGGTGGGCTCTATATGTTTAAAATATTGTCCAAAAATACCACCCACCTTCTATGTTATGTGTATTCTATAGAAGTTTTGTGAACCAATTTTCTTTACTTGTAGACTCTCTACATCAATATGTGCGAAGAGGCAAGTTTTATTGGACTTGACTCTAAGACTTGCATGGCCAGCCCCAATTGTCTTTTTAATTTTATTTTTAATTTTCTAGAAACTTCAAAAAAGTCAATAGAAACTAAAAAAATTGAACATTCGCTTGCCCAAGAAGTCCCATGCCTTGTATTTTTCTAAACAAATCAAAGTAGGTCATGTTGAGCCATTAAGCAACATGCACAAAGGCGACGTGTCAAGGACCGCAGCTTTATTTAGCTCCTTGACACTATCGCAGCCGCACTTTGCCCAATTTCGACCGCACATTGTAAATATTTATCAAGTTTGAGTTACAATTTTCTTTTCATTGTAATAGTTATTTTAGTTGTAAAATAGTTCTGATATTAGTAAACGTTTATTATGATTCCTCGTCTTTTAAACGTCTACTCTTGTCACTTAGGTTTTTCTTCTGAATACTGTTATTGTGGTATTAGTCATTCAAAAATCTTTCAAGCTCATTGGTATCTGTTCTTTGCACCAGCAATTGTAATTTTCTGCATTTGTCAATTGTAATATTCAGTTTTCATCAATCAATGTTCAATTTACTTTCAATGTATTCAAATTCTCTATTGTAAGTTTTCTACAAAATTGTAATCAAATTTTCTTTCGTCTCAACGCAATCGAGAAAAGGCGGAAGGTAGTCTAGCGGAGCAGACTACTACCGCACGGTGTCCCTTTCTGTGCCAAGAAGAAAGGCACCCCGTGAAAGTTGGTATCAGAGCTACAGCTCACGACCCTCGATAAAAAAGCTATAGATTCAATTACATCCCACACCACTGAGGTGGGAGAGTCTCAAAAGAAGAGTACTACTAAACAGCGCCTGGATGTGCTTGATGAGACAACTACTAGATTGTGCTATGCCATGGACGGTCTTGAGGAAAAAGTCGAGATGGCAAAATCCGAGATTTGTCGATTACACATCCAACTTGATGAAAGCCAAAGGGCTTGCGCATCAATGACTGAAGCTACTACAATCATTCCTGATCTACAGGATGAAATGGAAGCATTGAGAGCTCAATTACGAGTACTCCAACTTGCAATGGGCAACAGGCAAGCTCTCGTACCTGAGTATGCTCCTAAACTCGGAATTCCTGAACCGTGTACCTACGGAGGGGCTCGTGATGCAAAAAAAGTCAAAAACTTCTTGTTTGACATGGAACAATACTTTCTCGCAGCTTCAATCAAAGACGAAGTTAGAAAGGTAACCATGTATCTGGGTGAAGATGCAAAACTATGGTGGTGAACCAAATATGCTGAAATGCAGGCCAACAGGGTCCGAATAGATTCTTTGGATCTCCTCAAAGAAGCGATCAGATCGCAATTTTTCCGAAAAAATATCGAGTATCAAACTCGACGGGCACTTCGAGACCTAAAACATACAGGCTCTATCAGAGAATATGTGAAAGTCTTTTCAGAGCATATGCTGAATATTCGAGATATGTCGAAAAATGATAAGCTCTTCACCTTTATGGAAGGGTTGAAACTGTTGACACACACGGAACTTCAGAGACAAAAGGTTACTGATTTGAGCACGGCCATAGGAGCCGTCGAATGTTTGAGCGACTACCAAACGGAATCCAGAAAAGATCGACCTTCGAGGAGTATCAAACAATTGGAGGTGGTAACAGACCTTATAGACTCAACTCGAACCCAAATAAGGGAGAACGTTACTCTCAGAATAAGGGAGGAACCTATCAAAACACCCGTGGCTTACAGAGAAATTATCATAATAACCGTCAAGAAAATTATAACGGCAGCAACAGTACCAACTGGAACAAAGGAAAAGCAACAGAGGGTTGAACTGATGCGACTCCCAAATTGATGTGCTTTTTATGCGAAGGACATCATTGGGTGTCGGAGTGATCTCAGAAACGGATGGTGAATGCATATTGTCAACTAACAAGTGGTAGGTCAAGTTCAAAGCAATAGGCCCCACAGGCTAGTTGCCATGGTGAGACCGACTTCGAATAGGATGAGGACGTAGTTGGGACATTTCCACATCGGTGCAACACACTGTCATATCGGGTTGCTAAAAAGGACAATGTCCCCTTGAAAGAGGCAAGGATGGAAGAAGCGAAGGCTCGAATTTGTAAGGTCAAAGGCTTAATGTACATTGATGTGAAGATCAACGGGAAGTCAATCGGGGCTATGGTGGATACCGGTGCTACCCACAACTATCTTTCATGTACCGAAGTAGAGGGACTCGAACTTGTTCTCGAAAAGGGTAGTGGGAAAGCCAAAGCAATCAACTCCATTGCTCAACCAATAGCTGGAGTGGCGAAATCAGTGTTGATCAAAGTAGGTCCCTTCGAGGGAAGGACAAATTTATCTGCAGTTCAGATGGATAATTTCAAGCTTATTCTAGTATTGGAATTTTTTCAAGATACTAAGACAATAGTGTTGTCGTATTTCGATTCGTTAATGATGATAGGTAATAAGCCGTGTGTCATCCCTACACAAGTTGGGAGGATCGGCGAGAAGAGTATCTCAACCATGTAATTTAGTAAGGGTTTCAAGAGAAATGAACATTTATTTGTGCACTCTTCGACTATAGGAGATCGAAGAGGCGACTGGTCCTATTCCAAAACCGTTAGAAGGCTTATTCGGGAATTTGAAGACATCATGCCGGACGAATTGCCAAAGAAATTACCACCAAAAAGGATGATTGATCATAAAATTAAACTTATTCCAGGTGTCAAACCTCCCGCCAGGGCACCATACGGTATGTCTAAGCCTGAGCTTGAAGAGATTAGGAAGCAATTGGGAGAAATGTTAGAGAATGGAATCATTGTGCCAGCGAAGTCACCATACGAAGCTCCTGTGTTGTTTCAGAAAAAGGCCGATGGTTCTCTTAGAATGTGCTGTGACTATCGAGCCTTGAACAATATCACTGTAAAGAATAGCTATCATATCCCACTGGTTGCAAATTGCTTCGATCGACTGAGTCGGGCAAAGTATTACACAAAAATTGATCTTAGTTCCAGATACTAGTAAGTTCAGATCAATGACGGAGATGAAACAAAGACTACGATGGTAACCAGATATGGAGCCTTTGAATTTAAAGTGATGCTCTTTGGTTTGACAAATGCTCCAACAACATTTTGTACTATGATGAATCAAGTACTTCATGGGTTCTTAGATGATTTTGTCGTGGTGTACTTGGACGACATAGTAATCTACAACGAGACATTGGAAGAACGTGTCCAACATGTGAGGCAAGTTTTTAATCGGCTACGAGAGAATGAACTCTATGCTAAATCGTCTAAATGCTCATTTGCTCAGAGATCTATTAGTTTCTTGGGTCACATCATTGAACAAGGTAAAATCTTCATGGATTTGAAGAAGGTTACATCCATCAAAGATTGGCAACCACCAAAAACAGTACATGATGTACGTTCATTTCTTGAGTTATGCAATTACTATCGAAAATTTGTGAAAGGCTACTCAAAAATTGCATTGTCATTTACCGAATTGATAAAGAAGGATAAGGATTCGGATTGGTCGTCCCAATGTCAAACTACTTTTGAAATGTTGAAGAAGTCCATGTGGACAAACCCGATTTTAGCCTTTTCGGATATGAGTAGACCATTTGAAGTTCATACAGATGCTTCAGATTTTGCACTTGGTAGAGTCCTTATGTAAGAAGGACATCCGGTAGCATATGAAAACTGGAAGTTAAACCAAACAGAACGTCGTTACTCGGCGCATGAAAAGGAATTGTTGGCAGTAGTCCAATGTCTCAGAGGATGGCGTCACTATTTTCTTGGGTCTCCATTTATTGTGAAGACAGATGACACTGCGGTTAGTCACTTCATGTCCCAACCAAAACTATCGAGCAAGCAAGCTTGTTGGCAAGAATTTCTTTCAGAGTTCAATTTTATACTAAAATATCGTCCCGGATCTAGTAATCATATTGCTAATGCTCTTAGTCGACAGGCCGATTTGGCAGCCATTTGCTCCGTGGTTGCTCTTTCAGAGAGCGCCGTCACCAAGAACACAAGAGACCAAATTCGGGCACTTATGGAGAAGGACCCGACTACTCAATATTTGGTCGACCTCATCAAGCAGGGTAAAACTCGACAGTTCTGGCTCGATGGAGAGTTAGTGAAGAGAAAAGGAGACCGCCTATATGTTCCTAAGGGCGGAGATTTGAGGAAATCACTAATTACGAAATGTCACGACACGATTTGGGCAGGGCATCACGGAGAGGAACGCACGTGTGCACTACTGCAACGTGCATACTACTGGCCTCAAATGCAGTGCGACATTGCAACATATGTAAAAACCTGTCTTATTTGTTAGCAAGATAAGTTAGATCATCAGAAAAATGCGGGCTTGCTGGAGCCCCTTTCCATCCCAACCCAGCCATTCGAAAGTGTATCGATGGACTACATTATTGAGTTGTCAAAAGTTGAGGGTTTTAGCACTATCATCATCATGGTGAACCGTCTATCAAAATACGTAACTTTCATTGCAGCACCTAAGTACGTATCCGCAGAAAAACAACTCATCTCTTCTTCAAACATATTGTCAAATACTGGGGATTGCCTAAAGATATCGTCAGTGATCGAGATCCTCGTTTCACTGGTATATTTTGGACCGAGTTGTTCAAACTTCTTGGTTCAATTTTGAGCATGAGTTCTAGTTTTCACCCACAATCTGACGGACAGGCGGAGCGTTTCATTTCTATGCTAGAAAAATATTTTCGGCACTTTATCTTTACTTCACAGAAAAACTGGGTAAAACTTTTGGATGCGGCTCAGATTTGCTTCAATGTCCAAAAGAGCTCTTCCACCAATAAGAATCATTTTGAGATTGTTACTGGCCAGCAATCGCTACTCCCTCATACAATGGATATCGAACGAAGTACCAAATCTCCTCAAGCGAAGAACTTTTCTCAAGAGTGGAAACGAAATATTGAAATTGCTCGGAGTTATCTTGGAAAAGCTCAAAAACGGTATAAAAAGTCTGCAGATCTAAAGCGTCGTTTCATTGAATTTAATATTGAAAATCTGGTAATGGTTAAACTTCCCGACAAAAATGTTTACAAACCAATAAGAGGGAAGGACTCAAGCTTGGCGCCAAAATACATTGGACCATTACCCATCGTGAAGAGGATTGGAAGAGTCGCATACAGAGTTGAACTCCCTTCATGGTGTAAAATCCACAAGGTCCTTCATGTTAGTGTACTGAAACCATACTTTGCAGATAAGGAGAACGCATCTAGAAATGAGTCAAAGCGACCTGTGTTTGAACTGAGGAAAGTTGGAAAGAAAGTTGCTGAAACTATTCTTGACCATCGAATCACTCGAGTTTCTAGAAAATATCATCAAGAGTACTTGGTTAAATGGATTGGATGCAACAGCGAGGAGAATACTTGGGAAAGAGAAAATGATCTTGGAGCCTTCAAACCATTAATTGAAACATATCATACATTGATGGCATCGAGAACGTCGCCAAAACAAATGGGGGAGAATGTCAAGGACCGCAGCTTTACTTAGCCCCTTGACACTATCATAGTCGTAGTTTGCCCAATTTCGACAGCACATTGTAAATATTAGTTCAAGTTTGAGTTGCAATTTTCTTTTCATTGTAATAGTTATTTCAGTTTTAAAATAACTCTGACATTAGTAAACGTTTATTATGATTCCTTGTCTTTTAAACGTCTATTCCTGTCATTTAGTTTTTCTTCCAAATGCTATTATAGGGGGTATTAGTCATTCAAAAATCTTTCAAACTCACTGGTGTCCGCCCCTATGCACTAGCAATTGTAATTTTCTGCTTTCGTCAATTGTAATATTCAATTTTTATCAATCAATTTTCAATTTACTTTCAATATATTCAAATTCTCCGTTGTAAGCTTTCTACAAAATTATAATCAAATTTTCTTTCATCCCGACGCGACCGAGAAAAGGCTGAAGGTAGTGTAGCGGAATAGACTACTACCGCACGGTGTCCCTTTCTGTGCCAAGAAGAAAGACATCCCGTGAAACGACGTCCCAAATCAAATAAGAAAAATAATACATCTTCGTCTATATAAAACTTTTTTAGCTTAATATCCGTCATCTAAGAAACTTTTTTAGCTTAATAACCATCATCTAATTGTACCAATTACACATTTCATTCCTTAATCGAGATTAAACAATAAAGTGAGGAGATTTTTACCGGCGACACATTCTAACAAGCTCAATTAACCCCCCCCCCCCCCCAACAAACCACCCAATGGCGACTTGGAAAAAAAGTGGAAAACTTAAAAGAAGCAAATCAAAATAAAGCTTTAATTTTGGCATGGTTAAAGATGAACCGTAAAGCGTCTCTTCAAGCTTTATTTTTGACACTTTTTAACCTTTGAGGCCAGGCCTAATAATTTGACTTACAGGTTCACCCCTTTTCCATTTATATAAGGAGTAGAAAAAGTTAAATTGGAAATCATTTGTATTGTTAGTTAGGTAAAAATAGTTTTGATCTTATCTATTCTTAATAAAATATATAAATATATTTTGATATGTTTAAACAATTTATTTTCCCTCCAATTTGGTATCTGATACTTAGCGCCCACGTTTGGCCTCCCTTTTTTTGGAAATGAAATGGATGGAATAGTGTTTTTTTTTAAAATGAGTGATTAAAAAAGAAGAAATTTTTTTCGATTTACGTATAATATTATTTTATGTAAAATTGTGTAGTTGAAAATAGGAGAGAGGAAAATGGAATGAAAATTAATGGGGCCAAACGGGGCTGAATAAAACAGAGTAATTAATTTTTCATCTATTGGAAGAAAAACATTTTACTAATGGACAATGGAGAAGGCAAGAAAATTTTACTAATTTTGAGTTTTGTGCGGGATAAGTTGTGAAGTGTGCAGATTAACTAGTGCTTACAAGGTACAAAATACTTCTTCTTGTATTTAACTTGTATGAATGTAACATATTTGATACATAAGATTAAATAATTAATTTGTTTTTAAATTAATTTATTTTTATTTTTTTGTTATGTACAGTATAACTATCTCATACGAACCTTTAGCGACGGACATGACCCCACACATGCATGATGAGCGTGCCTATGGTTATTATTTCTTTTCATGATTATGTTAGGAGATATTAGAGTAATCCTAAGCTTCATTTTCATTTTTTCACAATAGAAGGCATAAGAGAGGGAAATATTGAATAAACTTATTTTTTTTCAACCTTGTCTTAGATTGATTTATTTTTAGATAGATCGTGTCATCTGATTCATAGGTGTTTGTTAAGGTTGTCGTTGTCGAATTCTTAGCAAGATATCTTCTCACTTTTCTTGAATTTTACTAATCGTAATTTTTAAATTATAGGGCTTTCAAGTAATAATACTTTTAGGTAGACAAATTTTCGTGCAAGTAATAGTAAATTTAACTTAAATACTCAAGAGAACACAATTACATTTCTTGTATTAAAATTTAAAATCAACTAGAAGTACCCTATATCTACATATTAGCAATTCCCTACTGTTTGGTATAGATTTTTTAATTGATTTTTTGACCGTTAGAGATAAAATGGATCCTATCTGTAAGAGAAGAATTCAAAAATAATGACTAGAATGGTGAAATAACGATCAAAAAATTGATTTTAATTAGATTAAAATCTCTACCAAACATGCTCTCAATTATCTGTAAAAGCTCGGAAATATTAAAGTTTATTAATGTGTGCTGTACTTAAGTCATTAACGAGCAATTCAATTAGAGAAATAGAGGAATAAGAACGCACAACTAAATAAATTTAGAAGACTGCACCGTCAAAGATCCCTTATACATTATAATTGAGCATGGACCCTTTAAACGCTTGGTGGACGAAAGTTGATAGCAGTCAATGTTGGTTATTGGATTTAATCATCATAATAGAAAATTAATTTTCCTTTGAAGATTAAACCCGTTTGAATAAGAATGTTAGATCACCTTAAGTTTATTGGATGTTTTAAATTCTCACACATAAAGGGGAGCTGATAACTTTGAAGGGGCTTTTAATGGCCTAAACAGATGCTTCCTCCCTTAGATCTTCTCCTTTGTTTTCCTTTTGGTGCCTCCCTCTTTTTGGAAAATGAATGTGGCTAACCATAAAAGCATATAAAAATGTGCCCATAAAGGACATATTTATAATACTCAATTAGAGTTTGAAAATTTCACAAATTTCTTTGAATTTTATTGTAGCAGACCAATTAAGTCACACACCTTTATTGGAGCCAAGAGAAGGAACTAGCTAGACCCACATGACTCAAGCTTTAATAGATATTTCTAATTGGGTCAATTCTTGACCGATTAAGATTCATCAATTAATTCCGGCTCATTTTAGCAAAAATTGAAATTCCGCTCTCGAGTCAAGTGATAGTTATAGAAGCAAATTATGATCCAATAACAATATCTTATGATTATCGTTTCACAAGTCAACCCCTATTTGACCATCAAAATGTTGAAATTGACAAAATGACAATTTTGCCCTTCAACATGTATTGACATCTAAGTTTCATTTTAATAAGGTAAATTCGTTGTGATCAAATCACAATATAAGGTTTAACGATCTCATCATCTAACTACTGAGTTCAGGTTCAGTTTGCGTATGGTAAATACCTTAGAGTGACAATCGCCTCATCTCAATGATTAATTGATTCCATTATCGCAAATATATGCTCTCTAATTGTTTCGGCCCGATTCTCAAAGCATCGAGATTAATCTTTTTATTAAGACTTCACTCATTAGTACTTCAAAGAACTTGAACTAGCAATCAAAGGTATATTATTCGCTCAGAATTTAGGTGACTTGTTTGATAATCGAGTAGCGTTTAATTTCGAGCGGTCACAAATGAATCATCTACGCGGTCTCATTCAATGTACATTAAAAACACATTTTTGTTCTTATTCCAAAATCTAGAAAAATCTTAATAAAAACAATACAATCTTATCAACATAAAATGTCCAAAATGTCCAAAATGTCCAACTTTATGTACTGATTGTGAATGAAATATTTTTTATCACATCATGAATTGTGTCTTATTATACTCGAATCATCGAGTATACAGTTTGTGACATCATGAAACCTTAGATAATTGTTTCACATTGTAACACGCGATTAATCAAATATCAATTCATAATGTCGTTTTACAAAATACTATTCGAAGAAAAGGCATCAAACTAACAGTCAATCTTATAGACAGTGAATTTAGTATCTATATTTCTCAATAAATTTAAAACTCAATTGTGCTACACGTACATATTAATGGTTTATATATAAATAACATGGAGACAAATGATCGGGTCAAAAATTTTCAACTAAATAAAAAATAAAAATTTCACTCTCTTTTTGACAGGTAATCTATATGAATATCATAACGTAATTTCATTATGTACAAATAACATTATTCTTTAAAATCAACTACTTATATCTCCTTTTTTATAAGACCAAAATTGAAAATTAACTAAAAGTAAAACTAGAAAAAAGAAAGGTATATTCCAAAGATGCAATGATTTTGTCTGCTATTCTAGGAATTCATTAGTGTTCAATCTGATTAAATGCTGTTTGGAAAAATAATTCAGTGGATGAATCTCTCTTTTTTTTTTTTCTTTTTGTTTTTATAGTTTCATTATATATGAATTTTTACTAGTTTAACATAGATAATCCACATAGTAAGTGTATATACAGGTTAGGCCTAGCCAAAGATATTCAGGAAAAAAAAAATGAGATGAGAATTTTGATCGACCAACTAAAGCTTTATATTACTTTCTCTGTATTCATCTAACATTTTTATTAGTAACTTAAAAATTACTTTTTATTCACATAAAGTCAAACCGTAATTTCAACTCATGTTCAAAACTGTATATGTACAAACGTACAAATGAATCGTACAAAGCAAACGATCTACTTTTTTGTTAGAGAATAGGACTTTTTATTCATCATTTTATCCCTAGTGGAGGACAAAATCATTAGTGTTTGAAGATGAGGGTATTGGCATGTGAAACAATGCCTTTCAAGTCAAAAATTTTCACTTGATCATAACCCTCTAAAGTTGAGGCCATGCTAAAATCATAACTTAAAAGGGTACCAAACAAGAGCTAAGTTCAAATTTGAACGACACCTATACTTATGACTAAGAAATTCAAAATCTAAATTTTTACATAGCTCTTAACTTGCTTAAGAAAAATTTTCACTGCAACTAAACTTTCAAAGAATAATGATTATCTTTTTGTCGTTTTGATCCAAAAATAAGGAGTAAAAAATTCAAGCATTCTTGTTTGTAGGTATAATCTTTGACATATCATGATGAATGACTAGAAAATAAGTTCACTTTTTTGTGATTCAAAAGCTAAGAAGACAATTAAGGATCCATGCAATCTCTGAGCCCATAATCACACATTTGAAACATTCTCTTAAAAGATCAATATTTTTTGTCCCAAAAGAAAATAGAGTGGTTTTGAAAGGGCCCCACATTCATCATTACATGTCATATCCTATCATTTGTCTTAAAATAAAGTTGCTTTAAAGTATGAAGAGTTGTGTAAATCCCACCACCACTTATCTTTAAAGTATGTTAAGATATGATAAATAGACAAACAAATGATTTGGACCTTCTAAAGTGGATGAGAAAAGGAATAGAACCGAAATACATGAAGGGAAAGCAATCCAAATGCCCCGTCTTTGTGAAATTTTACTTGTGATATATAATTAGTGTAAATAAGAAATTTTTGATATATTTGTTAAATTGAATTCGATTAAAATAAATAAACCTATTGACAAATTGGATTCTTCGGTATATAATTTAGCGTAATGGAAATTAAAGATGTTTCAAATCAGGCTTATCATAGATAGGTTTTATAATTTTGAACTTGATTTATTTAGCTTTCAAACTAAATTTTAAGATAAAATTGTAGCCACGGCACCAAACATAATAGCGGACTTGACTCAAATCTTTCATTTGTGCACCCACGGTTACAAATTTTTCAAAAATTCTCGCTTGGAATCCAAATGGATGGTTTCCTTTAGTTTTTCTAGCGTTACCGCCACCGCCACTGTTGGTGGTTCTAGTGAATGAAAGTGGTAATGGTAGTGAGGAAAAAATGATGGCGAAGATGGCAGTCAGATGGTGGCGGTGGTACGAATGTTCACCGTACAACTTGTTCACCTTGTATATTTTTCTATTCTCAAATTGCATTTTTATGTCAAAAGCCGAACCTTATCTTGTGGACAATTGGGTTGTGTTGGCTGTGTATATGAGGTAGAGATGTTGTGGTGTGATGAAGGTGGAGGCAACGGAGGTGATGTTGGCTTTGGGTGGGTGCGATGGAGCTGTCTAGTAGTGGAGTGGGTGTGGTGAAGAAAAGTTATTTGGTTTTTTATTTTAGTTATTTTATTACAAAAAAATATAAAGTTACCCTTTTAACTTTTTAAAATTAGTTAAAATTATTGTCAAATCAATTATCTAGGCAACTAACAGTCAAACTAACAATTTTCATCTATTTGGACTCGAAGCGAGAATTTCTTAAAGGTTTGATATCATGAGTGACACAAATGAAATGTTTGGATCTAATCTGATATTAAATTAAAGGTTTAGTATTGTGACTGCAATTTTTTCAAATTTTAATATTAAGGTTGTATGATTCATCTTATCTTTATTTATTTTTTTCATCACATATAGAGTGAAATTAGGGATGGACAAAATGTCCAGACCAAACCAATACCAAACAAAACCAAGTGGTTCGGTTCAGTTCTATCAAAAAAATTAGTGATTTTACTTATTTGAACCGAGAACCATTTGATTTTGATTCTACTTCAGTTCTAGTTCAAAAACCACAACCAGAACCAAACTTAATATTTAATTTTATATATAATAATTAGTGGAGACACGAATTTTATATTCATTGGAGATAACTCATTAATTAAATACAGTTTATTAATCGATTTTGGTTCATTAGAGATAAACAATTTATTAGTTGTCTACACCCTAATTTTGTATTCAATTGAATTATTTCCCCTTCACTCCTTTTCAATTTACACAACGTCGCACATACTGATACCGCATTTCATCAAGTAAGTGGAGTGTCATTTAAGATCGAAAAATGAAATTGGCCAATTACTTAAAAAGGCTCTAAACTCTTTTTTTACATTGATTGTTTGATTAGTTATTTGTGTTCTTCACAAACAGAAGAAAACCCAATAAACTTTCATAAAATATTAAACAGTTAATATTGCTTGTAGAAGTGGACCGTAAAAAATTTGATAATTGATATTTTATTGTAGGAGTGTGCCTTCAAAACTATTGCAATTAATTTAGCGAATCATTGCTATTACTTATTAAACAATTCTTTGTATGAAAACGAAAATCAATTTGTATATTCAAATTATTAATATATTTTGTTTGTTAGTTATGACTTTCTTTTTATCTCAATAATTGAAATTTAAACTTCCTAAATGTTTCATATTTATTTTCTTATTTAAGTCTACATTACTAATTTATATGATGCAAATCTAAAATTTTACTAAATAAAATTAGCAACAAACCAAACCAAACCAAAATCAAACGATTCGGTTCAATTTGGTTTCATATCTTTAAAAAATTCATTTGGTTCCATCATCAAAAAAATCATTGATTCATGGTTCAGCTCTTTTGGAATCAGAACCATATAGAACCATGTCAACCCCGAAGTAAAATGGTATAAATCCTTGTGAAATGAAAAGAAACAAGTCAGCTGTTTAATCTTTTTCTTTTTTATTGAAAGGGAAGCAATGTTATTTGCAATCATTCACTACTGCAGTCGCTCTACGTGACATACGTGTGACAGTGATTTGACACATTAATATAATAATTTTTTATTATCTAATGCATCAAATCACTAATCACCACATGTATATCACGTAGGACGATTACAAATAATATTATTCTTGAAATAGTCCCTCATAAGTCCCAATGTTATGTTAAATGACATTTTGAGGCGTTTTCAACTACAATTTTGAAAGACTAGACTTTTGTGGAGATCCTGGCTTTTAATTACTGAACTTTCAATGATATCTCAATTAGGTTACTCAACTTTAATTTGCCAATTATCACAATCGGTACACTGAACTTCAATTTCGACTATATTAGTCCAAGTTATTACTTAACTCCCTCGACTAGCTCTCGTTTCTAGGTGAAAATGCCACCTAATCGTATCATGACTGGAGAAATTAGGGAGAAATAATTTATTTTCAATTTTATCGTCACCATTCAACACATAATTATATGGCATATTAACCTAAAATTGTTAAACACAGTCACATTGCTATCAATTTTTAACGTTCGCGAAGATTAGAGAGTTAAGGAAGTGACTAGAATTGAAAGAACATTGAAATTCAATTATTTAATTGACAAAAAATAAAGTTGAGCGAGTCAATTAAAATTTCACCGAACTTTCAAAAATGAAAATATTCTCATCCAAACCTTTTGCATATTTGGCTAGGCTTTAAAAAAGTTACTTATAAGCAAAATAAGTATACTTTAACATAAATAACTTTTTGGTAATCAAAATTTAAAATAATGTACTTATTAGAAAAGTCCTTCGTGCATTCCGATCAAAATAGGTTCCCTGCAAACCTAATGAAATTTTAGTCCTAAACAAAATTATGCTAACGAAGGCACAGTGAATATATACCGTTTTTACATTTTTTAAAGTACCCAAAAAAAATAAATAAATAAAAAGGCACAGTGAATATACCGTCTCACCTTCAAACTTCAAGAGTTTCAGTCAGCATGCTCGCGAAAACGGATAATTTTTCTGATAAACAGTCTCTCCTTACGGTAGCTAGTAATGAAAATAAAAAGTTACCATCATGAGTAGAGATGTCACTGAAAGACTGTAACACTAAAAGAAAGTGGTAGGATAAGACAATATCAAGGGCATAGATTAAAACTCACATTGCAAATGCTGTTACGCTGAAACATGCGAATCCAAAGGAGAAGTGAACGAAAAATGTGGCCCAGAAGTCATCTCGGTCCAAATATATTTTCTCAAATATGAAAGTGGCTACACCTGAAAATAGTAGATATTCCCACCCAGAGGGCAAGCATTCACGAAAAGAAAACGAGGAAGACTCCTGAGAAGAAGAATGAACAATGCATTTTAAGTCTGCATTTAAGATATTCATAATCATACGTGTATGTATTTCACATTTCACTAAGGTCAAGCTGAAATTTTACGGAATGCAAACAAAGTAATTTGCACAAATTACAGGTATACCTTGAAATAATTGCTGATGAATCTCGCTGAATAAACAATCCTGAAAATCATGTCTTTATAACAGTCAAGGAAGCAGTGTGTGTAAATTATGATTACTGTCTTAATTTCGAGCAGGCGTGAAGGTTGGCAACACAAAAATACATACACTGCCTGTCAAACCACCCAACCAGCCACTTACACATCCACCTTCACTCTCAGAATACACATCCTGCAAAAATATTTTGCAATTTTTGCCTTAAAATGCCAAGATTGGACTGATTAAGTAGCCTTATTTCCTTTTTTAACTTGAACGTCCCACTGCTCATTGATGAGAGAATTTTTTTCATGTAGAATAGTCAGCAAAGAATTGATCAGAAAAGAAGAATATGATAAGAACTTCATTAATATAATAGAGGATACTCAAAGAATTTGCAGTGATCAACCCCACTGCTCCAGCTGATCTTATTAGTAATACATTCAACACTAGATAAACCAATGAGAACACAACCAATGAATTGTTTGATTGCTTGAGTTGGTTCTCTGTTGCAACTGCATGCAAAAATGCTTCAGATGTACCTAAAGCGAAAACAAAAACAAAATTCCATATTACAATCTCAATTGTGTGTGTAACATTTATCTGGCTCAAGTAATTTTAGGTCATACAGTTCTCATCTACAGAATTAAGGTTTCCATTAATGCAAGCAAGACTGCTACTGCTACACAGTGTTTTTTGAGGTATTATCTTCTTGTCATGAAAATAAATGTAGAATAAGACAAGTACCACATAGAACTTAAATAGCAAGTTAAAAACAGATACGTGAGGAAAATATTAAAAATGCAACTTACTCACGTAGACAACAAAAAATAAATTAATAGAGTGACATGTAGGATCCACTTACCATTCATGGCCAAGACTATTACATAAAGGCAATAATATTGTAGGGCTGTTGAAGCTTCTCCATCACTCCATTTCCTACCATACAATATTCTGATGAGAGAGTAAGAATAACTTGGACCAAATGCCATAACCACCATGCCTACACAATCAGGAAAACAGTATCAGCTACTCAAATAGTTTAGGAAAACTACTTCAAGGTTAGGATATTCATTTTAAAAATGTCAAAATGTTCTAGGTGATTTTTAACAACTTAAAACTTGTGCTCTATATAATTCATTTTTCTATAAAACGTAAGGTCCGATAACACTTAGCTAGGGATTGACAGCACAGATTCATTGAACATCGCATGAAAGTATCATCCCAACTTGATGGAATGTGGTTAGTCCCATGATAATTGATATCAATAAATAAGCCTACTTTTTTTATCTACTTATAGGAAACCACCTCAGCTCAGCTCAAACCCATATCAATTATAAGCAACCAAGTATAATTGGTCAGTATTTTCATGAAACATCCTTGAGATTATTCAATATTAATATCATTTAAACAACATAGGTAAGCTTCCTATGGGCAATATCTCGCATCAGGGTGGGTCCACTGTTTAGTAGCAACGTGCACAATTATGCTAAGAGTAGATAAAATCACACAGCTTTTCCCATTTCTCAGTATCTCCTCACCTATAACTTTCATTTGTTGAAAAGAAATAATATTTTTAAATCACCAAAAGCAAAATAACATCAAGTCAAAAGTAGCTCAGCTGCATTTTTAAAACATATATGAATTGGTTTTGGTAATACACTAATGCTAGCCCATTTCTCTGAAGGTACAATATCCAACTTCTTTGATAGGTATAAAGCTACATAGAGTGATGATGTACATAGCAGGGTCTTGCCATAAGCTATTTACAACTAATCAGATCAGACTGGATCTAACACCAAATCCAGAAAAAGAAGAAAAGAAAAGAAATGATGACAACTAAAAAAATGAGAGTTCGGTATGTAGGCATTGAAGTCAGGAATAATCTTTTCATATCAATTTTCACGAAAATCCCAGCAGCGAAAAAACTTCTGAGATTCTAATTCTACTATTTGATACTGGTCACCGCAATTGAGAACATGCTCACAACTATTCTTAATGTTCAATAAAAAAGGATGGCCACGAGTGTGGCTAGAATTCCAAAATGGACCAACTTGCTGTGCTGGTGTCTATAAGTAACTCCTCACTTCATTGAATCTCGGCAACATCATGGGTGACGTAGGTCTATTTCTTTAACCATCCTGTTGTGGGACATTTCAATTATTATTTCCGTTTCCAAACACATTCCCTGCACAAGGATATGAGATAACCACAAAGAAGCATCCAAGCAGCGGAGGAATCTGAGAATTCCATTCTATTGTTTGTCTACTAGTTATTTCAATCATAATGAGCACAAGGTCCACCCAGTTCTTATGTTCTATGTTAGATATTAACCAGGAGTTCAGCTTTAATTTAAATAAAACAAATTGTTATGCTAGTATTTCTATGCAAGTCCTCCCTTATCTGAATCCCACCAACACCATGGAAGAAGTAAGTCCATTTCTTATTTATTACACTGTAATGGTATCATTTCATTTATCATTTACATTTAAATTACAGTCACTGCATAATAAGCACAACGAAGCATGAGTCTGAGGTATCTATATTATGTGAGCGAATTGTTTCTATAGCAATCATATATCATTTCAACATTGTCTCTGAATCAGAGCCAAAATGGGTATCGTAAGCATGGCAACAAGATCCATTTCATGATGATCCACATGCCAACAGAAGAAACACGCCATAATGTTTTCCCTCCCTATGTTAGGTTTTCATACTATAAACAATAGAAAACTGAAGTGTTGAACATGAACAGATTTTGGTGTCACTTCACCAGATATGGTTTAGGAAATACCGGGGAAAGAAAAGGGGTCATTCTTTTCCTTAAAAAACTGCATTTTCCATGCATATCAGGCCAGAATTGTGGATTGAGGATTTGAAATCAGAATAATAGTGAGAACCTGATATCAGACCACAATGTTGATTTAATTTGGGAAAAGGAAAGCTTTAGGCTTTCTAAGTACTGCTAGACCTAGGAAATTGTTGCAGCTAAAATAGTTAGCAACAGATTACAGCCCAACGGCTAAAACTTCTGTATCACTAGCACCTCATTGAATATACTCAATGTCTTACATTAGTTTTACGATCGAACAATCAGCTAGTGGCTCCACAGACTTAAATACTTTTGAGCAAGACTAAAATACTCAAAAATCAACTTCTCCTGAGTAACATTATTTTTTCAAGACCATACTGAATTTATATTGAAATTGTTATTGGGCCTTTTTAGTCTCAAGTCCCAGGTAAGATCGGTTCAGGATCATGGGAACAATGGTGAGGAAAAAAGGTCGCGATCCCGCGAGGGTGAGCTAACCAACCTTCCCCTTTTTCCAAAATCCATGAATTTTGCTAGTTGATGAGAGTTACTTCGGAAAAAATAATAATAATAATAATAAATAATATAAAAAAATGGAGCGTCGAGCACAATTAGATCCATCGTTTGGAGGGAACTCCCTTTCCAATTGTGAATTTTTATTCGTTTTTTTTTACTGATTTCTTTTATTCTAATCGATTTTTTACTAATTTGCGCTAATATGATCAGATTTATAAGTAAGCATCTCTTGTAAAATATGAGCAACACCAAATCCTCACCCTACGGGGATGGAGCGAGAGAAGTTTTGAGAATTTAAGAGAAGGTCACGGCGAGAAGGAGTTTCAAGAAATAGTCCTTGGTTAATTTTCAGCTTTTCTTAGGATTTTATCTATTCTGCTCTGACCGAGATCTTTGGGGATAATTCTGCAAAAAAAGCAAATTTTTATCGAACCTATATTTCCCTGCCTTGATATAAATTGCATCAAAACTAGAGGTACCTATCAGCAAAACAAGTTTCAGAGCATCTGTAAGACACCTTCCGAGCTTCCTGCTTTTCTCTCTATTGTCTCCTGCCAAAAGGAATGAAGATAATGATATAGTCTAGCTACAAAAATTAAAACCTACAAAGATTAATAATCCATTGAAACAATATTAATTGACTAAGTGAGACAGGTTTTATCATTTGCTGAAAATGGCCTTAAATAACTAGAAGAACAACATTAAGAAAACGAGCAGAGTCAAGTTTTCACGAGATACTTGATTCTTATAGACCAAAGAGTGTAAGCCCAGCTGATCATTGATGGAATGTGAGGGGCTCAAATCGTGGTAATATTAAGAAATATAATTCCAGTATCATCAAAGCATATAGCCTCACGTGAGCAAAACAGCATGAAATTGTAGAGAAAAGAGTACTGGTCAAAGGACGAAAAAGATGAATTCGTTTTGCATCTGGAACCCAGTTCTTTCATCTCTATGACATCAAGTATGAATAATAAGTATGCTTAGCTTTAGAGAGAAAAATGTCAGAGGATTAGACCCGTGGACATTTACAGTCAGGTGAATTGAAAAATATTTAAGCTGCAGCAAATTAAGCGTTGTTCCAAAAAATTTGGGGTCAACTACATGAATCGCTTTCGCCACTCCATTTGGCTCATTACTAGATCTATTCAAAGATCCAAGTAAACAAGCATAATTAGCATATTTCTGTCCATAACATGCATAGGTAGCATCATGGTTTAAAAACACTATTTGAGGTTTACGCCTCAAATCCCGCCTCATGTGAGGCTATCATAAAATGCCTCAAAACACAACCTTTAAGGTCACGTGAGAGGCTTACACCTTGACTGAGCAAGGCTTATGCCTCAAGCCAGCTAAGGTGTTCACCCATTTGCCTAGTATTTTTCAATGATTTAAAATTATTAACCTTAGCTTTCTGAGTTATTTCTTTATAACTTAAAATGTTTTATGGTGTCATTTCCATTTTTCTACCTACAAGGAAGGAAAATGGGAAGGAGAATACATCATTGCAATTGGAAATTGTGGATGATGACAAAGAATGAAAAGAAACTTATAATGAGCATAATGAAGTTAATGATTCCCTTAAAGATCATATTAATAGTGATGCAAGAAATTTTTTAGTAGTTAAAATTTTGATTCATGATTATAAATTTGAAAACTTATTATTTTCTATTTTCTTGATCTATTTTATGTTGATTTGCAAGTTAGACTTTTTGAATATTGTTAATCGGCTTTCTTATGAATTTTTTGAAAGGGTTCGTGGTATATTGCGAGCATATTTTGGTATTTTTATACTTTTATTAATTCTTTTATCTTTTATTGATTTATCTGGAGGCTAATGCCTCGCCTCACAGAGAAAATGCCTCAGTAACCGATGAAGCCTTTTTAAACATTGGGTAGCATGCAGTGAAAAATAAGAAGGAACAATTCATGTAAGAATCTTGAGGGACGTCCACTGCCTAAGCTACTCATAGTCAAGGAAAATAGAGAAGGAATGTAGCATCATTAAGAGAACAAGAAGACGAGGGATAAACCTGATGCAGACCTTGCAAAGGTAGCATATGAACTTTCTTCAAATGGAAGAAACACCAGCCTAACCACTAAGCTCCCTGAAACACCAACCTAATCTATTTTAGCATACTCAGAAATTTTTTGAGTTTCAAACTGAAAAGCGAATTACATGCTTAAACACTTAAACTTGAGCCTCATATCAGACAATTGCATCTTTCTCACAGAAACGTGCTATCTTGTGAAGCAATGTATTAACTATAAGCAAAAAGCTTATTGATGAAATACCAACCTAGTTTCTCTACAACTCCATATACTGCTTGGTTATATGGTGTATCCAACCATACAAGGACCATCTTTTCTCCTTCCTGAAGAATCAACTTTCGAACAGATTGAAGAGTGAACAACTTACACATATTTGTTAGTGGCCTATCATAATCCATCAAGTTCCCTACACTGTGAATATCAGTTGTTTTTTTAGTAACATTTAAAGCTTAAAAAGAAGCATATTACTTAAAGAAATTGATATGGAAACTAAACGCCATCACTATATGATAAGACCATCTGAGAAGGGGACCAAAGAAGACTTAAAATATCATGGAGGTTCATCAGGCATGAGAAAATCAACAAAAAGTTTCTACACTGCTAATACTACAATGTTCACGAAATAAGCACTTTTTTCAAATTTTCTGATTGTAGTGAACTGTTTGTCCCATGTAAAGTTGCAAAGATAACAAGCAAGGGTTGAAAAAAAATAATACCTGAAAGGAAAAAGGTCAAAAGTGTCAGATACACGAAAAAGAAGAAAATATCCCCAATAACCTAAGAATATTGAAGCTCCATATGCAACTTGAGACAAGGCAAATACAATTTCTTTCTCCTGCAAACAGTAAATTTTCATATTAGGAAGCTGCTCAGATTGTGGTACAAATGTTGCACAAATAGAGATGTTGAAGGGAGATAAACCACAAGTGGCATGGAATCACAAGTAGTCAAGAAGGATAGAAGCGTGCCCAGTACACATCAAACATAATAAACTGATTTCATTAAAATCAGATTAAAAAAATACAGTCCATCATATAATGGTTAAAAAACTCCAGACCAAAACTTGGGTAACTAAGGCTGCAAAATAACAGAGGACAAGCATGAAGAGATGCAAAATCATGAGTACCATCGAAGAAGAATCAACACAAGGGAATAGAATTCTCCTTTCAAACATGTGTAGAGAGTAGAATTCAAAACCAATCAGTAAAAAACACGAGAAACAAAGAAGAGAAGAATCTTCAAGGTGATTGGGACATAATGATAAGCTTCAATAAGGTTGCCAAAGGACATTTAAGGTGATTGGAAGAATCCATCCCACCCCTCTCTCCCAGACATTGAAGAAGAAGCGAGGAAAAGAAAGTGCTTATTCAGCGGTATTTTGTGGCAACAATGAGAATGACGATGATGAGCGACAATGACAATAGTAGGCTTCTGACCTTTCACAATGAAAGGTCAAAACCTCATTCTGTGCCATTAATTTTTTGTAAAATTCATAACTGATTGTCTAGAAGTTCAAATACTGCTCCAAGCTATCCCATTATGTGCCCCCAACTAATGACAAGTAATGTGACAATCTTTATCCAACCCCATGCCTCCACTCTAACAAGAACTCCTAAGAAGTTCTGTCCATGCTTTAAAGCTTATAATATAGATATGCTTGAAACCTAAACGTTACTAATGAAAGTTCCAAAAGTCACCATTACGCACAAAAATTAAAATGAAAGTGTAAATCTTCTATTTACCATGCTAGATTGCTTTAGTATGAGGATATACGTCGTTATACAACGCGAAAGAGTAGCTGCACTTTCAACAACCAGCCGCAGTCTGAGAAGCAGCATGTTTTGAGACAAGATATAAAGGGGTTCCGCTAGTAGTTCAAGTACACATGCAAAACCTGCATATGTATGAACAAACCAGACATCAAGAGTCTTTATTGGAGGTTAAACATATAGGAAACACAACACCCTAAGAATGAACGTCTCTGCATCTTCAAGCATTACAACACAACACATCAACATCTATTTGATGTGTGATGACACAAATGTCGATCTCCAGTTTGTTGTGCACCAAGGGAAACTACCTAAAAACCAAGTTCAATGCCTATCCATACCCACCCACACACCACCCAGCCTCGTGTTTTAGACTTGTAATATTTCTTACATGCCTCCCACCCACTGGAATGACTTTTCTAGAATTGCATTTGGTGCCACCTGGCCCCTTGCAGTACGAAAATTTCTAATGTGGCTTTTTTTCAGAATGTTGGTAGTTCTTATTTCCCTCCACACCTCCATATTTGTCCACAAGTTTAAAGCCGAAGATTTTCCCTCAGCAAGTGGACTGGCTCTAGCAGCATGGAACTGAATTTGAAAAGTTTGGTATTTGACGTATTAGCATACCGTGAATCAAGATACTCTGGGCATATGGACTAGAATAACTTAGACCTTTCAACCAGAATACATATACACATGCTGCAAGTGTAATAATTATTCCCATAGGAAATGTCAGCCAGGCAACTTTCAAAAGTTTTGCTGCATTTTCTCTCGTTGTTGAAGCATCATTACTGCAAGATATCACAAAATCATCTTTGAGATTCATACTTCGAAAATCAAAACGCACAAATGGCGTGTGACAGTTTTGCATTTTCCAAGACATCCATCAGAAGATTATCAAAATAGAAGTACTAAAATGATAAGCAGGCACAGTTATTTAGATTGTTGAATATGCATAGGAACAACACAACCACACGTCATTATGTATTTCTGCATTATATATTAAGATAGACCATAACCAGCATAAGATAAGATAAATGAAAATTTGACAAGAATAATGGAAACCAGATCTGAAATTGAATATGAATCGAGAATCTTGTCTGTTTTAAAAAGATAAAAATAACTTCGTATATTTTAAGCATGTGACGTATGAAAATATATTAGAAAAACAATTAGCATAGCGGAAAGCCAGAAACTTCATGACAACGAATAAATTGAACTCGACCAATAACTGGGTGAGTAAACAAAAGAAGAAACTTAAATCCAATTGGTTAGACTAAGCCAGTGTTTGGACAACTATAAAAATAATATACAAGGAATAGATACTCAGGATTTTGGATCAAAAGAGACATTTGAAAATACCATTTTATAACTGCTCTCATGCATGCTCGCCGAAATCCTTCTCGACTGAGGAACAAGATACAGGTGACAAACAGATGGAATTGTACAGCATACAACTGCATTATGTATAGGAATGTGATGTGTCAGATGACAACAGGAAATACAAACATAAGAAACAGTCAAAGAAACTACATGAAAATTACACCATTATATTACAATTGTTAAGTCATACTTCGAAAAAACAAAAACCATGGAAAATATAGTTTAGTTTTAACACCTATGATCGAGCAACACACAACAAAGAAGCATATAAGTATACACAGGACACTGACACTTTTCAGATGTTATTGAAGGCATTAGACAACCCTTTAACTGTACACAAGTAAAAACCCCAAGTCTAAATTTAAAATAAGACTCTGATATTCCCCTAACACTGTCCAAAAATCCCATGACACACTATATGGTCAAGCAACAAAGTCAGCGATGAAAATTTATTGTAATACTACATACATTTGAGAACAGATTTTCAAAACGTAATTTTTCAGAATTCCAACTAAGAGGCACAATAATATGTTAAATATGGCACAATGGTTTATGCTCCCCCAACATGTATTATTACTTTTAACTTTTTGACACACAAAATCATCCAAAATTTACATTTTCCCCTCTTATTTTTCCAGTTTTACATCTACCATCTCAATACCCACTGGAAAACTTCAAAAAAAGAAAAAGAGGGTGCTTAACAAAAAAAAAAAAAAAACAACTTACCGCATATTCTTCTTCGGTGAGGTGCCTGATAATCCACGAATTAAATATGAAAGGGATTCCTCTTGACAAGAACTGCGTAGCTATACATACACATATTTTAACACATTAATTTAGATAGAGAAAATTTAGGCATAAAGTGGATCGTATAATTGCAGAGCGCTTAAAAAAATAACTAACCAAATAAGTATTTAAAAGTGTGCGATATATTTGCAGCCCCGTCTCCATGTGAATTCTTCGAGCTCGATTCATCTGAAACAATTTTCTTCATTTTCTGGGATTTCTTTTACGTATCTTCACTTCTTTGATACGGATGGGCCCTGAATGTTTACTATCATATACGAAGGGGAAATGAGTTGGGAAGGTCATTTAATGTACATTTTGCTCAATTTGCGTTTGACCAAACTTATAAAAATAAAAAGAGTTTTAATTATTTAAAAATGTCGAGAGACTTCTTTATCTTTAACTTGTAAAATAAAAATGAAGAAAAAATTGAGTTTTTTTTTAAATTTGTTGGAACCATGATTTGAACTTTGGAATGCAAAAAATTATTTTAACTTCACAACCATTAAGGTAAATGATGGTCCTTTGTTTCCTATGAGCAAAACATATATATATTACATTTCAAAAAATTGTTTTATTCTCACTTCAAAAATAAATTTTAATTAAAATTAAAATTAAAATTTAACAATAACCACCGATTGAACCATTGATCCAGTGGTTTTTTTTAGTTGATCATCAGGTTGGCTCTAATAATTATGCATTTATGTTCTAACACACACAACATTCTCTTTCTTTAAATTCAAAAAATTTTCCTTTTCAAAATCATCTTCTTCTTAGAATTCGAACTCTCCTTTTTAAGTTTCAGATCATCTCTTTTTCGTAATTGATCTCCAGTGCAATCAAAGTTTTAACATTGTCCACAACTTAGCAACTAGTTGAAAATAATTATCGAGTTATTTATTCATTAGACACATATTATAACACAAGAAATTTTTTAAAATAAATTTATCTTTATATTTTAGAAAAAAATGGACAAAAAAATATTTTTTAAATTTATATCTTATTTAAAGTCCAATAATTAGATTTTAATAAAAAGTGATGCAGTATATCGATTTGTACTCATTTTAAAGCTTGTAATTAATAAGAACTATTCGACTCGAGAAAAAATCGATTCGGTTAAGTCAGCACGAAGATATTGCAGTTTGAAGAAATCGTAAAATATAACTTATCAACTTAATAAAAATGTGGAATGGAAATGAGCTGCTGACACTGTTTCACTGATTTGCATAAGACATTGAAATCGTTCCTGAAATATAAAACGACTTTGATATCGTTTCAGCATCAATACACTCTGCTTAACTGATTTGTATAACGACATTGAACTCGTTCCTGAAGTACAAAAAACGATGTATATGTCGTTCCGATATCGAATACACATTACTTCACTGTTTAACAGATTTAAGCGCACGTTATGGAATAAGTAAATAACGTTTATGTCGTTTCAATACAATTTTTGACGACAATGATATCGTTCATATTCAATCGTAACTATAATGTCATATATATTGTTTCAGAAGTGATTACACTAGAACTTTATAACTACGATATTAAATATAATTGATCGTGGACGATCGAATTGTCGTTTTTATAATTATCGTTTTAGTTAAAATTTAAATTAAAGCAATATCAATGTTATCAAAATTGTACTGAAACGATAATAGTATCGTTATGTATCAAACCCACAAAATAAGACAACGACATTTAAATCGTCATGGTACAAATTTAATGAGTTTGAAATCATTCCAATTCAAATCACAATGATAATAACATAGATATCATTTATTTTCATAAAAAACAATATTTATATCGTTCTAACTAAATATAAAGATTCGACCGTTTACAATCACCTATTATACCTTCAACATACATAGAACGATCTAAAAATATCATTAAGTGGAATGATAGAGTTCGAATGACTTAAAAAGAGTGAACAAAAATACTTTTGTTTGAATAGTTCGAAGGTGGTATACAATCACTAGAACAAAAATGTTCTCATAGTTTCTTTTAAGGGAGATCAAACCCACTTGATTATCTATTTTTATCATCCTACATATGTCAGATACACGACTGGTGGTCATCGATAGTCGAATCGTTATTTTTAGCATAAACAATATAATTGTCGTTTTATTTTAACTGAAAACGATATGTATGTAGTTTTTGTTATGATTTAAGTTAAAACGATATCAACGTCGTCAAAATTATATTGAAACAATATAAAATCACAAATAAAGTAACGACATTCATATCTTTTTAGTACAAATTTGACGAGTTTGAAATCGTTCCAATTCAAATTACAAGTATAACGACGTAGATATCGTTTCTTTTCATATAAAACGATAATTATATCGTTCTGGATAAAAATAACGATTCGGTTGTCCACAACCACCCATCATACCTTTAGGATACATAGGACGATCAAAAGAGGTCATCAAGTGGGTTGATACCACTTGAATGACTTAGAAAGAGCAAACGAAGATACTTCTGTCAGAATAGTTAGAAGGTGGTATACAATAGTGAGAACAAAAATGTTCTCATAGTTTCTTTTGAGGGAGATCGAACCCACTTAATTATCTATTTTGATTATCCTACATATGTCAGATAAATGTCTAGTGGTCGTGGATGGTCAAATCATTATTTTTAGCAAAAACGATATAATTATCGTTTTATTTTAACTGAAACGATATGTGTGTAGTTTTAGTTATGATTTAAACTAAAACGATATCAACATCGTCAAAATTGTATTGAAACGATATTGATATCGATATGTATCAAAATCATAAATAAAGTAACGACATTCATATCGTTTTAGTACAAATTTGATGAGTTTGAAATCGTTCCAATTCAAATCACAAGTATAACGACGTAGATATCGTTTCTTTTCATATAAAACGATAATTATATCGCTCTGAATAAAAATAACGATTTGACCTTCCACAACCACCCATCATATCTTTAGAATACGTAGGGCGATCGAAAGAGGTCATCAAGTGGGTTGATACCACTCGAATGACTTAGAAAGAGCAAACGAAAATACTTTCTGTCGGAATAGTTTGAAAATGGTATACAATCATGAGAACAAAAATATTCTCATAGTTTTTTTTAAGAGAGATCGAACCCACTTGATTACATATTTTGATCATCCTACATATGTCAGATGCATGTTCGGTGGTCGTGGACGGTCGAATCATTATTTTTAGCAAAAACGATATAAGTATCGTTTTATTTTAACTGAAACGATATGCGTGTAGTTTTAGTTTTGATTTAAACTAAAACGATATCAACGTCGTCAAAATTGTATTAAAACGATATTGATATCGTTATGTCTCAAAATCACAAATTAACGACATTCATATCATTTTAGTACAAATTCGACAAGTTTGAATATCGTTCCAATTCAAATCACAAATATAACGACGTAGATATCGTTTCTTTTCATATAAAACGATAATTATATCGTTCTGAATAAAAATAACGATTCGGCCGTCCACAACCACCCATCATACATTTAGGATACGTAGGACGATCGAAAGAGGTCATCAAGTGGGTTGATACCACTCGAATGACTTGGAAAGAACAAACGAAAATACTTTCTGTCTGAATAGTTTGAAGATGGTATACAATCATGAGAACAAAAATGTTCTCATAGTTTCTTTTAAGGGAGATCGAACCCACTTGATTAGCTATTTTGATCATCCTCCATATGTCAAATGCATGTTCGGTGGTCGTGGACGGTCAAATCATTATTTTTAGCAAAAACGATATAAGTATCGTTTTGTTTTAACTGAAACGATATGCGTGTAGTTTTAGTTATGATTTAAACTAAAACAATATCAACGTCGTCAAATTTGTATTAAAACGATATTGATATCGTTATGCATAAAATCACAAATAAGGTAACGACATTTATATCGTTTTAGTACAAATTTGAATAATTTGAAATCATTTCAATTTAAATTACAAGTATAACGACATAGATACCGTTTCTTTTCATATAAAACGATAATTATATCGTTCTAGCTAAAAGTAGGTTTGACCGTCCACAACTACCCATCATGCCTTCAATATCGTTATGTTGTTCAGTGTGCTTTTTTTATTGGAAGGACATCTATATCGTTTTGACTTTCAGGAACGACTTCCATGTCATTCTTAGAATGAATGCATTTTTGTACTAGAACGACTTATATATCGCTTATGTATAGTCATAACGACTTTTATGTCATTACCAAAATAAGTTAAGCAGTGTGTATTCCATACTGAAACGATATAGAAATCATTTTTTATTACAGGAACGGTTTCAATATCGTTATGTTATTCACTCTACTTTTTTTTATTTGAACGGCATCTATATCGTTTTGTACTTCAAGAACGACTTCAATGTCATAATTAAAACTAATACAGTTTTGTATCGCAACGATCTTAAACACTTTTTTTCAGAAGGAAGAAAATATATATCGTTATTAGATTGATTGCATTTACATCAATTGTAACTATATGAACGCCGTTTGCATTTCAATAGTGCAAAAGCATTTCAATAGCACAATGATTACAAAATTTAATAAATCATCTTGTGCTTCGAATAAGCACAAAATTATAAAGTTACAAGTCAAAAAAATATTACAACCTTAGTCTCAGACAATTATTACTCGAGAACTTCAAGAATCAAGAATGTTTTGGAAAAAAATTATAAAAATAAAAATGAACGATCGATTAATATAGTATTTATGGATCCATTGAATAATTTTGATAATTTATAATCTCAGCACTGTCACAAACTTATGAACTTGGATTATGAATTATGATGATAAACCAGGAAGTTCACATAGCATATAAGTCAGCCATTACATTATAGTTTTTATCGTACACACATATATACATACACTTTCGACCTACATCTTGATGAAATTAAAGGATAATTGCTTAAAATGCTGGACCATATATTTCTATGTAAAACAATCATCATCAGTAGCACCTAAAGAAAAAAGGAAAAAAAAAATGATGTTCCCCATTTTTCTTTGGGTCGAAAATGGAAAAGACTGACATAGTATTTGACCTGCTATGTTCAATTTCTGTTAGAGAAAAGTTGAGTAAGCATGTCCCTCAAGAGAGTTGCAGTACAAAATCACAAAGTAAACATCCAAGTTTCTGAATCTTTATATTGAAAGCAAGTAAATGAGCAAGATAACACACATGATGATTATGTAATTTGCAGGAAATAATTCCAAATCAATTATCCATTATAAATATAAATGAAATAATAAAAGAGTATGCTCCAACAAAGCCAAGGTACTGGTTTCTATTTCA